GTGAGAATGTGCAACAGAGTTTTAAACTTAGTTATGAGGAATGAATGTACACCCGATCAAGATCTCATGGTTCCGTAATCCCGAGCATACCATTGGTTCACTCTGCTAAAACTAATAACCATTAATTGTAGTGTCAAGAAAATCTGATTAGCAGTCATGGGTTGCCTTCTCTTAGGGATCTCGAGTAAACTGAAGTGGAGATTTGTATTGATTTTAATTTAGTTTAGTTTGAGTTGAGGTTTATGACTTCCTTAGAAGTTGTTCATTAATTTGTTTAGTTTGGAGCTTACAGCTCCAATTAGGAGTTGCCCGTATGATTAGATTTGGGTATGAGCTTACGAATTTTATTTGAAAGTGGCCATAATGGTGGGTCTTACAGTCTCTATTAGAGGTGGCCCATAGGTTTGGGGCATGAGTGTATTTTATGGCTTCTATTAGAAGTAGCTTGATAATGAGTCTTACGACCTAACCATGTAAGCTAAGTGGCCCGTATAGTGGGTCTTACAACCTAGCCCTTATAGACTAGGATGCTTGGGTGAGGGGTTTAGGATTATATTAATACTTAAAATATTTTTCTCAGAAGTCGGACTTACAGCTTCTATTAGAAGTGGTTGATTGGTAGGTCTTACAACCTAATTCTTATAAACAAGACTATCCATATGGGTTTAATTATTTGGATATAGGATCGTTCATTTAGAAGTTTCTTAATGCACGAGTCTTACTGCTACATACAGAAGTAGCCGATAGATTTGTAGATGTGTGTTAGTTTGACACCAGATTGTGATTTTGACACTTACTTGCCAGCAGTTATTTGCTACTCTAGCTTTTAGTAGTGTGATTGTTGTTTATTTATACTATAATAGTTTGTGGCTCTACTTGAAGAAGCTAGATTTATTATTTTTTCAGTATTAATTTTATTTATAATGGTGCTGACTTTTATCTACTTGTTGGCATGTACTCGTTGCCAACAATTTAGGGAGCCCATAGGTCTGCATTGCTTCAGGAGTTAATGTTGAGGGTCTGAGGGAGTTTTAGTTTTGTTTGTGAGATGTCTATTGAGAGTTGCTATAGCATGGTGGAGAGCTGATAGTTGATTAGCTTTGTATATAGGTTGGATGGTTGAAAGATTGATTTATTGCATTTTTTTTAAATTTTAATTGCATTAATTAGATTGATTAATCAGACTTTAATTTAATTAAAGTTGAATTTTAATTAAAATTTAATTAAAAAATAAAATAAAAAATATTAAAACTTACTTTGATTTATTAATTAATTTTAAAATTTAAAATTTCTTTTAAAATCATTTGACTATTGCTTAATTTGATTAAATTGGCTTTAAAGTTTAATGTTATTAAATCTTAGATGAATCAATTTACCATTTTAAAGGTTTTAATTTTAGATTACAGTTAATTCAAATTTTAAAGTTTTTAAAGTTTTAATTTGATTAAGTTGAATTATTTCATTTTTATTAATTGAATTAATTAGTTATTCAAATTATCCAATTAGATTAATTGTTTAGTTAATTAAGAATGAATTAATCAAAAGATTTATTGTTAAATGTTTTAATTAGTTAAATCATCAGATTTATTCTTTGTTTGTTTAAATTTCAAAGTTATTTAAAGTTACAGCTTAACTGTTTTAGGTACTGCTATATTAGATTAATCAACTACAGTCTTTTGATTGAAGTTTTATCTGATTTCAAGTTTCCAATTCATGTTACTGTTGTTAGTTGCAAACTTAATTTAATTAATTAAATTAGATTGTATTAGGTTATTTATTTATTCATTTAAACTTATTAGTTAATAAAGGTTGCAATTGAACTAATTATTTGAGTATTTTCAATCTCTTCAAAAATTTGAATAAGTTCAAAAAAATTTCGAGTAAATTTTAGCAGTCTCCCATCGTCCCCTCCCTCGAGGGGAGGTAGGGGATGGCACTTGCCCTTTTGGCTCGACTCGACCATATCAAATCAACGACAAGGTGTATGGGGAACAGAATCAACCCCAAAAATAGTCTTTAAATCTTCAATCCACTCGGTCGGATCAGATCGATGACCGAGGCATTCAAGGGACCGAATCAATTCCGAAACTTCCTTCATTTTTTACAATCGATGTTTCATGTATGTATTAATGTATATATGTTACTTATTATTATTATTTTCAACAGTAATATTAATAAGGAGAATAATCAAATAATAATAATCAGTATCAATTATTATTACTTAATTATAATTATAATAGCCACCTACTCTTTACTGTTTCAAGAAACAGCAAATAGAAATTTGTTTGAACGTGGGCTTGTTTACGGCAGAGAACTGCAGGCGGGATTTTTGGTTTGGATCATCTTTTACGTGAGGAGGCTCTCTCTTGTTCCTGTGAAGATCGCAGCAATCTGAGGCGTCCGGCGAAGATTTATTTTTTAGACTGCAATCATAATTTATATTTATTCATTATTTTTTTATTAAATTTTAAAAAATTTTATGTTAGAAATTTTTTTTTTCTATAATAACTTCAAAAAATTATTTTTATCATAGCAATTTTACGACACTTTCTAAAAAGTTAAAGCGGCCATCTCAAAACATGCTAATATATTTGCTTCTCTCAAAAATATTTCCGCATGTTTCATGCAGAAAAAATTAATCTTAAATGGCCTCCAAGAAATAAGAGAAAATGACATTCAAATAGAAAACAAAATATGATATCGTAGGGATGTTCTCGAATATCACAAATAATTGTAGCATCTATAACCCACTCTCCCTCTCTCACCTAAGTGAATAACTTAGAGAAAATAAGTTTAAGAAACTAATCTAAGTACTTATTAAAGAAAGTCAATTAATCTATATAAATGTTGCGTCCTGAAATATTCGCGGCAATAGAGAAATATAAAGTTTAACGTCTTAGCTTTGTACAAAGATCCAGCACGCAATCATATAAAAGAGATGGTGCAATACTCATAAGAGATACCAAGCTTTTTACGTGAAAAACCCTAAAAGGAGAAAAATTACGGGGTCTAGACCAGTTTGAATGAATCCACTATTATTTGCAGTTCATTACAAATGAGGCCCTTCATATGGGGGAAGGCCTTGGCTTGATATACATTATTTGAAGTACAATACATGGTGGGAATACATATAATCACAACTGATTTGTTTGCTTGGTCGGAAGGGCCGAAGTCGGTCGGTGACATAAGTTGGAAGAACTGTGTCGGCGGGCGACGGAGGTTATAAAGATCGTTGACTGGCGACAGAGGTAGGAAGAACCGTAGTCAGCGGGCGACAGTGGTCAGAAAGACTGTTGTCGAAGGGTGACAGAGGTCCATAATCAATTGAAAGCCGTGCAAAAGTCCAACGTTAGTGGGTGGCTGAGTAGAAGTCTGGCAACTAGCAGAAGTCCGATATCTGGTAAAAATCTGAAGAAAGTCTGGCGTCAGGCAGAAGTACGGTGTCGGGTAGCAATCCGACGAATGTCTGAAGAAAATCTGGCGTAGGATGGAGGTTTAGCGTCAGGTAAGAGTCTGACATCGGATAGAAATATGGCGACAAGCGGAGGTCCGACATATGGTAGAAGTCCAGTATCGGGTAGAAGTCCGACGAAAATGTCTGGCGACATGCAGAAGTCTGACATTGGGTAGAAATCCGACGACGAGCGGAGGTCCGACGTCGAGTGGAAGTTCGGTGTCGGGTAGAAATCCGACGACGAGTGGAGGTCCAACGTCGGGTAGAAGTCCGACATCGGCTTGAAGTCTAACGAAAGTACGATGACGGGTAGAAGTTCGACATCGGATAGAAATCCGGTGACGAGCAGAGGTCTGACATCGGGTAAAAATCTTGCGATGAGCGGAGGTCCGACATCGAGTAAAAGTCCGGTGTCGGGTAGATGTCTGTCGTTGGGTAGAAGTCCGACAAATATCTGGCGATGGGCAGAAGTCTGACGTCGGGTAGAAATCCGACGATGAGTGGAGGTTCAGCGTCAAGTGGAAGTTCGATGTCGGGTAGAAATTTGGTGACGAGCGGAGGTCCAACGTCGGGTAGAAGTACGGTGTAGGTTAAAAGTCCAACGAATATACGACGATGGGTAGAAATCTGGTGATGAGCGGAGGTCCGACGTCGGCTAAAAATCCGGCAACGAGCGGAGGTCCGGCGTAGGGGAGAAGTTCGACGTTAGTCGGTGGCCGGACAGAACTCCGGTGTTAGATGGCATTCGGGTAGAACTCGGGTGTCGGTAGGCTGCCGGGTGAAAGTCTGACGGTGGTTGAGGAGTCTTTTTCTTCTCTTCCTTGCTTCGTTCTCTTCTCTTCTTGCTTGGGCCTCCTTCCCCCCTTTAGGGTCCCCTTCTATGAGAAATGAGAAGTCTATTTATAATTTTCTAAGAGTAGCATGACCAGTAAATAACATGAAGATCAAGAATAAATTGTGAGTGGTTTGAATGGACGATTGATGTTGAATCTTTTGATCATAGACCGTTTGTTGGGCATTTGAAGGTCTTAATGATATCAAAATGTTACAATCTTAGGCTCGTTGGATTTGTCTCGCCGAGCCGCTCGATTCGACTCTAAGCATGAAATGTTTGGAAATTGTTTGATAATCCAAATTATGGTTGAACCTTCCAAATATGCTTTGGGCCTTCAATTTGGACCAATTTGAGCTTGATTCGAGTCGAAATTGGTGTTGTTGGGTTCGTATTTCCTAGACGTTCAGTTCGACTATAAGTTTGCTGAAATCGGAGTTTAGATGGTCTCCAATTTAATTTTTGAAGTTTTCAACTTGATTTTGCTTTGAGATTCGTGCCCGATTAAGATAATTTTTTAATGATATAACAATAAATATCATTTAAACATAGAGAAAGAAATGTTGAATTTGTATATGAAAAAAAAAAATAGAAATAGTAATAAACTGAAACATATAAGTATATTTGATAAAAAATTATATCAGAATATTTCGAGATATTTTGTATAAATTTAAAAATTATTAGATATATTAAAAATTAAAATAATACAATCTATTTCCCTTTCTTGCGTTGTAGAATCTTTTCGCCTCATATATTCTCAGTTCCCGCTCGCGTTCTGCATCTCTCTGGCGATCAAACGCTCACTCACTCACCCCGATCTTCTGAAGATTTTCTCCAAGAAAATGACGGAGATATCCTCTCTCATGCTACCTGCCGTCGTTCTTTCCGTCTTCCTCCTCACCATCTTCTCCAATGGACAAGAATCTCCGCAGTTAGGTATGCATCTCAATCCTCCTTCCCCTGTTCTTCTTTTCAATTCTTTATTACATCTCTTCTGTTTGCTGTTCTTATCTCCATTTCGATGTCTTGGATGCCATGGCAGGGCAACCCGATTACATGCGGTTCACATTCGACGCGTCCATGTTCCCCTTCGAGGCATACTACGACTACATCGTGGTGGGCGGCGGCACCGCCGGCTGCCCCCTTGCTGCCACACTCTCGGAGTCTCGCCAAGTCCTACTACTCGAGCGTGGCGGCGCACCGCAGGAATTCCCTTCCCTTGCTAGCCAAGAAGGCTTCCTTCGCGCCCTCGTGGACACCGACGCGCCGGACTCCCCTGCCCAATCCTTCGTCTCTGAAGACGGCGTTACGAATTCCCGCGGCCGCGTCCTCGGCGGCAGCAGCGCAATTAACGCCGGTTTCTACAGCCGCGCCCACCCCGCATTCTTCGATTCATCCACCGTCTCCTGGGACATGGCCCTCGTCAACGACTCCTACGACTGGGTTGAACGCGGCGTCGCATTTCGCCCCCATATCCGAAGCTGGCAATCCGCCGTCCGCGACGGCCTACTCGACGCCAACATCACCCCTTACAACGGCTTCTCCGTCCACCACCTCCCCGGCACCAAGATCGGCGCTTCTACCTTCGACTCTTTCGGCCGCCGTCACTCCGCCGCCGACCTTCTCAACTTCGCTTCTCCAGACAACATCCGCGTCGCCCTCCGCGCTTCCGTCGACCGCATCCTCTTTAATTCCCCATACGGTACGTGCCTCTTTTCCCGCTTTTCTTCCCCACCTCTTCCTTTTATTGAAGAATCCAAATCCGATGCACAGGGTTGTCATCACAGCGGCGGAGCCAGGCTACGTCGGCGATCGGCGTCGTCTACCGGGACAGGTACGGCCGACACCACTATGCGAAGACGAGACCTGGAGGGGAGGTTATATTATCCGCAGGGGCACTGGGATCCCCACAGCTTTTGCTTCTCAGCGGGATTGGGCCGCGCCCGTACCTCTCCTCATGGGGAATCCCCGTCGTCGCTCACCATCCCAACGTCGGGCAGTTCCTATACGACAACCCGAGGAACGGCATCTCCATCGTCCCCCCTGTTCCTCTCGATCATTCCCTCATACAGGTGGTGGGCATCCCTTCCGATGGCTCCTCCTTCATCGAGGCGGCCTCCAATGTCGTCCCCTTCCGCTCCCCGACCCACTCAGTCTTCCTCCACAACCCTTCATCTCCTATCTACCTCACCGTCGCCACCCTCTTCGAGAAGATCCCCGGTCCTTCCTCCGTCGGCTTCCTCCGCCTCGACACCCTCGACGTCCGCGACACCCCCGTCGTACGATTCAACTACTTCTCGAGCCCGGACGACCTTGCTCGCTGCGTGGTTGGGCTCCGGCGGATCGGTCAGGTTCTTGACGGCCGCGCCATGGACGAGTTTCGCATCCCCGAGTGGTGGATCGGCGGTGCCGGGAGGGAGTTCCGCTACGTCGGTGCTTCCCTTCCGCGCAATCGTTCCGACGACGCCGCTATGGAGGACTTCTGCCGCCGCACCGTGTCGACCATATGGCACTACCATGGCGGCTGCGTGGTCGGAAAAGTGGTGAACGGAGATCACAGGGTAATGGGGATCGGTTCTCTCCGGGTTGTCGACGGCTCCACCTTCTCTGCCTCGCCCGGAACCAACCCCCAGGCTACTCTCATGATGATGGGAAGGTCAGTTAGTCCCATGGTTCCTACAGTTCTTGAAAGTCTGTATCTTTTGTTTCTTTTTTTATGAATTTTTTTTTCTTTATTTTGATTTGCTGAAGGTATATGGGGAGGAAGATAATCGAAGAGAGGAGGAGGATCAAGAGAGGTAGGAGATCGCCGAGCACTTCTCATGCTTGGGAGGAAACGATGAGAAAGAAAAATGGGTGAAAGTGGAAAGATAAGCAGCTTCTGCCAGGCCAAGTGAAGAACTAGGCAATGGTGGCGTCATCCTCTTCCTACCTAGGAAGACTCTGCTTAAGCATTTAAGGCCTTTTTTTTTTCGTTGGGATTATTCTTCTTTTTTTAGATACAGTTTTTCTTGAAAAGATTACGAATACATTTTTCCCCAAAAAAAAAATTTATGAATATATGTTGTATGTGGGAGTCCGATGTCATTTCTTAGTTTTTTAAATAATAATAATAATAATAATGGGCTTCAATCGAGTGAAAATAAAATTAATATATATATATATATATATATAATCATTTTTAGACAATATTGTATTTAAAATATGTATCATTAGATGAATACATTAAAATTAGGAAAATTATAAGTACTTCTCCTTGGGAGAATATTGATAAATACTTTAGTAGGACAACTTTAATAGGGCTAGTTATTTCAAGGCCAATTCGAATGAGGTATTTTCAATTCTAAACACTTTTTTTATTTATAATGAGGTCAATTTTCTCAAGCATACTCAATGGATTTGTTTTATATTGCACCATCTTATATTTAGAGCATATCATTTTTCTAAGTTTATTGGTCATATAGACTCATTGGTGGAAAATAATTTAACAATTTATTACTATAATATGATGAATATATAGTTAAAAAGTTTAAACAAGTAGGGCCTTCTCTTATAGTCAAAGATTTTTAAGTTGTTTGCACTCTAATTCTCACGTTCTTTTTTTCGAAGGTGAGTGTGCACTTAATATGTTATAAGGCCAATTTGTCTCTTGATGATGTAGGGCTATTACCAAATTGAACCCAATTTTTTTTAGTACAGATGAGTGATTTAATGTGCATGCTTAAACACTACGGTCCAAGGTGAAAAACATTTTCTTTAATGTTCGCATTATAATATTTCATCCTCTTCCTTTTGACTTCTTGTTTTAATGACACTTGAGCTTAAAGCTCTTTTAGTAAGTCCATTATAATTTTACGCCTTTTTTGTGACTTTCTTCACATAATGTAGACTCATTTTTAAAGTTTGCAATGGTCACTATTCACTTTGCCATGCTCACTCCACCAGTAGTAGTAGCAGATTTACGAGAGAGTGCAAATGGAATCTAACATATCATTGAGGATGACGTGTATCTCAATGTTCACAGGACAAAGGGTTGCACCTCCACCCATTTGTCTTTTGCTCTTTCACCTTTCTTCCTAAACAAGTTGAGAATCTACTTGTTTGTCGCTATAGCTTATTCACTTTTCTAAGGATGGTAGATGGATGTAATTTCATTGAATTGTCAAAATTCTTTAATATTATTTTCATCATATTGTAATTAATTATTAATAGTGTTAGTATTCAGCAACCTTTGTTAGTAGATTATGTACTCATCTTGGCTAGGGATTTTGATTCGATACATTTGGAGTAGTTCACCACCACTATGATAAACTACTTATGCTTAATGGAAGGTAGAATTGGCCCTATTAGATCCATTCCCCAAATTACAAATGACCAAATGCTAGTTATAAGTTACAACTTATGTGAGGGATGCAACTACATTGGGGTGATTTTTTGCATTGCAAGCATCTCAGAGTTATTTCGAAAAGTCAATCAAAAGTACCCTTATCCAAGGATTCTATGGGCAAGAGTTCTTCCTTCATAGTGGCTCTCATACTCACCCGAGTGTATTTCCTTCAGGACTTGCTCTATCTCTTTTTTCCTTCATGCTCATCATGTTTGAGGACGAAGTCCCCAAATTCGTCTCTCATCAAGATATATTGGATGGCTTTGATTTTGAATCTCCACGAGTCAACTATGGAGGAAAAGATCTTTCATGTTATCAAATACTCAATTTAGAGATCAACCTAAATCATTGAGTAGATATTTTCAACTAGGATAATTTATTTATCTTTGACACTGGAATGATATAACTTGTAAGATTTCATCTTGCACTTTGGACTCCTCATTAAGTTAATACTCTATCATTTGTGAGTCAGAATGTAGTGCTAGATGACTTATCCTAATTACACAATAATAAATGTTAATCTAGTGATTAGGACTTCATACTCTACTTGATTTGTGACTTAAAACCTAATATTGATGACATGTGTTTGGTATGATCCATGTTGGTCTCTTCAAAACTATGAGGAATCCAATTTTTTGCTCACATGATGCCCCATTCATGTATAAGATTCACATCTATTCATCTTCACTCACTACTTCCTTTTCGACATCTATAAGTGTAAAGTCAATGAGAAAGTTAATGAGCGCTCAACTTTGATGGCCATTCTCAAAGTGTAGATAATATGGAACTCTGGTAACTCGACATGCAATTTTAATAGTCACTCGGAGTGGTTGGGTTTAGCGAGTATGATCTCAAGTGGGTGGTCATTGATGACTTGGATCTAATGCCCTAGAAATAAAGTCAGTGTTGTTGAGCCTCGTCTATTATGGCCAATACTAGCTTCTCCATGATAAGGTATCTAAACTCCTCAAAGCATCTTGTTTACATGATAAATCAATGGTTGCTTCCTTCTCAAATTAAGACCAAGCTTACAATATCCTTGCTTACTCCTAAGGAAAGGGGTAATTTCTTGCCAAGCAATGTGGCACTATAACAACAACGGCGAGGATGGGAACCTCTTCAATTCTTGGAAGGCGACTTCATACTTTTTGCTCCATTCAAAGTGATTGGCACTCTTAAGACCTTTGAAGAATTGTGAGCACCTAACTTGTCTTGGAGTTGAACTAATTGAGTTTAGTTATTTACTCAATTAATTGTTACTCCATGAAATTCTTGGCAATGGCATCACCAAGATAATCTTCACTTTACTTAGGGTTAACTTGACTCCTTCATAAGAGAGAAGGAGAGCCTTCTATCAGGCCGGGAAAGTGTCTTACCCTGTTCTCTCCCTTGCTGCCCCTGCGCCTGCTGATGTTGTTCGTTCGATGAATGGGGTTGTTCTCCTAATGTGGCTCCTGCCCTTGTGGTTGTATCTGATAGTAATTATTGTATTAATCTTAGTGATAGTTTGATTGTTGGTGATGGTGCGGAATTGTCTGTTGATAATTATGTTTATTTTCTTAATTGTGGTGAGGAAACCTTGGCTTTTGTTGAGGAGGAAGGTAGTGTGATGCCTCTAGTGGATGTACCTATTTCTATCATTTCTAATGCTAATATGTTAGCTCATGATGCTAAAGATGTTAGGTGGCAATGTGATTGGCTACATGATGACATGGCTATTGATAGTGGGAGGACTTTATTGATAACACCCTGGATACGGGCTTGCTCGATAATTTTGTTAGGCAACGTAAACATAATTTCAAGAAGAAATGATTTTCTTCTTTTGGATGGTTTGGGTTGTGTTATTTTATTCTTCCGATTTTGTCTTTCCTACTCTTAGTTTGCCTCGCAAAAAAAAAAAGAGAGAGCTAAGAACTTGCCTAATCATGCATCCAAAGTACTTTTTCAGGGTGGCAAATGTAATGACCTTCATTTTCACCCAATTATCATTACTTGACATGATTTCTTGCAAAAATGAATTTTCTAGCTAGGAGCACTTTTGTGCTATGTTGGTGAGCACGATGATGCTTCTCTCTATATTGTGGCTTTTGGATTGAGTGGCACTGGGCTATCTGTGAGAGAGCACTACACTGTTGGGTAGGTAGTGTTGTAGCACTACTACCATAACAACACTACCTACCTTAAAACTATTTTTAATTAAATATTTATGTTCATTTTCATTAAATCCCTCACCACCATCCCCTCCCCCTCATTTTATCTACTTTAGCTAGGGAGAAGAGAGAAGAGAATGGGGAGAGAGGAGGAAGAAAGAGAAATTTTACCTTGGGCCATTTTTCTCCTTTGCGCTTAATGTGAAAATTATTCATCTCGTTGTATGTGACCTTGACCTTACTTCTATTTTCAGTTATTTTGATTTCTAGTTTTTTCTCTCTCAAATCTTATAAAAATGTATTATATTGGATTTCAGCAAATTTTTTTCATGTAATTTTAAAAATGTATAAATATTTCCATTCTGAATGTTTTGATATGATCATATTTAGATTTCACCATGTAGTTCTGCATATGTGATATTTTACTTAGAATGATAAGAATAAGGACAAATTTCAGAAATAATTATGATTGCAAATAAAATAAATTAAATAAGTATAAAAAATATTATAAGTTTTATTTAATTCCTTTTCCTTTCTTCAAACGACATAATAAAGAAATGGTTTGAGATTTTAAGATAGAATATGAAGAAAGAGGAAAAGAAGATTAAGATTTAGAGGCTGTAGAGCGATTTTTGTCTGTCAAGCCTTTTAGAAGATTTATATGTTTTGTTGTAAGTAATAATTACCCTATTTCTAATTTTAAGGATTTTGTATTTTTGATATTTTTCTGATCAAATTTATAATTTTGTTACCGAAAAATAGCTATGATTTTATATTGGTAAAATTTTCACCACGTAAATTTTTATATATTATAGAGCTTGATATTATAATTGTTTTGAATATTTATTTGAGATTTTTTACTGGGTGTTTTTGAAAATGCAATGGTTTTTGTCAATTAAGAAACTTATTTTGAAGTCTAAAAATAATGATTTAGTTTAACTAAAGTTTCAAAATATTGTTTTATATCATATCTAATAATTTGGTTAAATTTTGAAATTGTTAATTATTTTCTTAATAGAGTTTTTTATTGTATATTGTTATTGCATTTTGACACTTTCTAAATTAAGCTCAATTATACTTTATTTGCTGCAATATATTGGAAATGAATGTGAATATGTAATTAAGATTATTATTTTAATATTGTGATAATAATATATGTAAAAGACAAGTAAAGACTGGTGTTGACCTCGATTTTGCCCGAATGTGGGCATGGTGGCTTGAGTTGACCAAGTCAACTTTTGACTTGGTCAACCCAAGCCTTAATGGGTCAAAATTGACCCTTTAGGCCCTTTTAGAGCCCAAATCGAATCCAGCCTCTTTCATGGCTCAATCCTTGGATTTCT